GACGCAGAGCAAATTAGAACATCTTTTATGATGTTATTTAAAATTTTAAGTGTGCAGCACGAAGCCCGAAAAAAACATCTCCAGAGAAGAATAAAACGTATGAGGATAAGATTGAAAAAGTTATGCCTTCAACAGAGGAATGAATTACTTATACAATGGAGTCAAATGAACGATCTGAAACCACTGGCTCTTATTTTAAGTGGTATTCAATATGAAAGAAGAATATGGACCAAAACGAGAAGTAACGATTTTTGGCAAAGAATTGTAGGAGAATATTTTACTCTGTCAGACTGGCTGACCACTTTTCGAATGTCGAAAGAAACTTTCACAAGGCTTTGTAATATTATTCGAAATGAACTAGAACCTAAGCCACTTTTCTTGGTATCCAGACAGCCTTTATCTGTCGAAAAACAGGTCGCAATAGCTCTATACAAATTAGCAAGTTGTGCTGAATATAGAGTCGTTGGTGATGTGATGGGTGTTCACAAGTCAACAGTTCGAAAATGCTTATTTAGAGTAACCAAGGCCATCAACAACATCATGGTAAAAAATTGTATATTTATGCCTTCTGAAGACGAAGCTAAATTCATATCACTCCAATTTGAAAGAAAAAGCTCTATTCCACAATTAATTGGAAGTATTGACGGAACACATATCCCAATTACTGCACCACAAGAGGGTTATCGAGATTTTGTAAATAGGAAAGGCTGGACATCATATAATGTAATGGCTGTTGTCGACCATAATGGAAGGTAAACTGCATGCAAAGCTGAGCTCCGAAAATAAAGTTAATTTAAAATAAAATTAATTAATTTAAGCTCCAAAATCTAAGATTAATTTATTATCTGTTATTAGATTTAGAAATGTTGTAATAAAACATCCAGGGAGTGTGCACGATGCTGCCGTATTCAAGGACAGTAGCATATACAAGAATGCGCAGACCATTATTCCTCAGGTAAATGTTAAATTTTTTGTTTGATGTATTTTTATATAATACAAATATGATATTTATGAATTTCAGATTTTTTATATAATACTAATATGATTTTATGAATTTCAGACATCTGAAAACATTAATGGTATGGCTGTACCATGTATGATTGTTGGTGACCCAGCTTATCCTATGTTACCTTGGCTCATCAAAGGCTATTCAGGCTCGTTGTCAGCAGAAGAAGAGTCTTTCAACGTGTATTTGAATTCTGCACGAGTTTCGGTGGAAATGGCATTCGGTCGGTTAAAAGCTAGATGGAGAATTTTATGCAAAAAAATGGATTGTACTCATACGTTTTCTCCACAAATCATTCTTGCTTGCTGCACGTTGCACAATTTTGTAGAAAGTAACAACGAACGGTTCTTAATAGAATGGTTAGAAGAAGTGTCCAACAGTGATAAGTCGTTTCCTCAACCAATAGCTGTACAAAATCGTGATAGAGACTGCATACCTGCTATAACAGTGAGAAACCATTTAAAACAGTATTTAGCAGCCAATTATCCTCTGCGGAAAACTTTTATCTCATAGTGGATAGCCAGTGAACTCTATACATACTGGAATGAGTGATCTATTGTTCTGGCTGTTGCCGAGAGAGAGGTGCGTTTGGGTGAATCCTTGTCTCCTTCTAGTACTACCTGATTGGATAGTCGCATATAAATGACGAGAAGAAGGGCGTCATTTATATGCGATTATCCAATCAGGTAGTACTAGAAGGAGACAAGGATTCACCCAACGCACCTCTCTCTCGGCTACAGCCAGAACTATAGATCACTCATTCCAGTATGTATAGAGTTCACTG